AAGCGAATCGAGAGATTTTACACTGGCTTATCCATCCAACAAAGAAAACCTTTTCCTAGGTATGTTATCACCAACTAATTAGAGATTTCACTAGCTGATCTTAATACCCAAACATAACTTTTCAGCCTGAGTTATATAACCAAAACATAGTTTTTTAATGGTTAATATCAATAATAAAACTCAATTATTTAAGAGTATAACACTCTTGAAAATAATGACACTGACACAATAATAATACAACATTTTCCTCACAAGTGGTTTTCACTCACGAGACATTATGGAAACTTCAGTGAAAGAAAATATTTAAATAGGGAGAAGAGTGAGATAAATTGTAAAGAGTTAGGAAAACTCTGAATTCTAGTGTGAAATGAAGTTAGGAGGAGAAGCCTCATTTATATAGGAAAAAATTGGCTCAAAATAGAAACAATCCATATGGGCCAAATTACTGGCCTAATCGATTAGGTGCATCAAATAATCGATTATTATGGTCCAAAAAGAAAGGTTTTAGTATAGAGATATTAATAATTATTAATAGATTGTCATAATAGACTATAAACTCAGTTAGACATCCTCTAATCTATTAGGCATATAATCCAATCGATTAGAAAGTTTGAAAAATTCTCCCAATCAAGCAGGCAGTCTCCTTATCAATTGGACATGCCTTAAAAACATTTTAGGTGATTTTGTTAAGTAAAGATATCTTTTAGAATTATTTTGTGTATGTGTGTGAGTGAGTAGCTTAGTATCTTAAGAGTTACTCTCCTACTCTCACAAGACTCTGGTCACTCAGACAGACACAACTAGACGAAATTTTACACTTCCTCTCTTTCACTACTCTGGAGCTTTCAAGTTCTTTTTCCAGATAAAGTGATCATATAAGTACTTCAATGGAACTTTGAATATTCAACTTGATGAGACTTGAGATATCTTCAAGTTAATTTCCATCATCAAATAGTTGAAAATATATCACCACCGATTTTAACATTTATCAATGTTATCATCATAGAAAAAACAAAGAGGGTTGTCAGCGTCAGGATCATCAACTCCATATCTACAAGTACATAGATCCACAATAACTGAATTAGGTGAAAAACTGATGGATCTTCAAGAGGAAATCTTAGAATATCAACTTTTTGTGACATTTTAAGGATAACTTAGGAACATTATTGGTAGCTTTCTCAGTTAATGTTAGAGTTTGCACATTCTTTCAAGCTGGATTGCATGAAATCATGCTTGCTATCAAATATGCTAACAAGAAGAATTAGAGAAATATTTAGCTTGAAACTAACTCAATATTGAGAAATCACAATTAGTATGTCGCACGAATCTACTAGCAGAAGTTCTCAAAATTGAAGACGGTTTTGGATCCACTCTAGCATTTGAATTGAGTGGTGTCTAATCTTTAGGCTCTTCATATTTCAGTATTATTTAAACTATTTAAACTATTTAGACCATTTCGACATATATCAATCCAGTACTTTAAATTTACAATGAAATCTCTTGCTCTGTGGCATATTTTTTTCCACTTATTTATTTGAGGCTTTACTTTGTATTTTTGTGTTCATTTTTGCAGCATCTCAAATATGCATATGGAGGAGCAAGGTTAATTACTTCACAAACATACATTGGATAAAGAAAAGTGATATATAGAGAAAAATACATTGGATCTTAGCCTTGTTTTTGTAATGTTGATGCAATCTAATGTCTTAAACTCATAAAAAGGAACCAATCATATGCTCTTTATGTTTTTCCAATATGTTTGTTCTCCTCTGTTTCATTGTATGGTTGTGTTTAGTAAAGCAATGTTATTTTTTCTTTCCCTCATACTAAAATAGTGGGTTGGAAACCAGATCAACAACCAATGAGGGACATATCTTGGATCTCATCATTGGTTTGGTTGATGTAGGCATCTTTATCATATTTGTTCATGTAGAGTAAAACTTTTAAATTTGTAGTTGTATACTTCACTTTCATTTTTTGGAAAATTCTTTGTAACATTATATATGTAATTTTACTTTTAACAAATCCAAGTCTTGTAATTTTATTTTTATGTTGAAGGATGTCATTTTCGTATTAGTTATTAATATTTGATTCTTAGGTTCATTTATAATGAATGAGTTGAATGACTTATATAGTTCTTTTAATGATTAATGGAAAAAATTTTAAAAGTTTATTTTAATGATAATTTTTTTATAAATACATAACCTTATTATAACTCTTTTCTAAAAAGTTCTATTATTGACTTGACATATAATTGTGCTTTTTTAAAAAGCGCTATTAAATCCTCTTTAGCAAATATGTGATAAATTTCAAAAAAGGCCTACGATAGCACTTTATGAAAAGCGCTATTGATGACTGCGCCTTTTAATAGTGTTTTAAAAGCGCTATCATAGGTAACCAACCTATAATAGTGGGTGATTTAATAGTGCTTTTAAGTTCTATTAAAATTTTAAAAAAGTGCTATTAAAAACCTTTTTTTGACTGACATATATTGCTTTGGTTTTGCCAAAGATTAATGGAGAACATGAGCAATGTGGTCTCATTATTGAAATGTTTCACTGCTTATTTCTTAATGTGTGACCTGAAAAGGTATGGGGTGGCATGACATAGCTTTCTGTGTACTCGAGTACACTTGAGTTTGATTGTGTTTCTAAAATAAAATCTGACCGTTGATCCAAACTTGTTTCTTGCTTTTAATTTGATCTGCTCATTGCCTTTACATATATAAGGATATATATATATATATATATATATATATATATATAGAGAGAGAGAGAGAGAGAGAGAGAGAGTGGGTAAACTTTTCATCATCTTGTAGACAGAGTTTTCCTTGTTTCCTTGAATCTTTCCCTCTTTCTTGAGAGAGGTTTTCCCAATACTAATTGTCGTTACATATTTTAAGCTTTCAAATCTCCAAAACTTCGACTTTTTCCCTTCTCTCTGATTTTTCACCTTCGACTTTGCATTTTAAGGTGCCTTTTCTTCCCTTCACCTTTTCATTTCAACATTTTATTTTATTTTCGCTACTATGAATGATAATCCTATTATCGTCGAAAGTGATTCAAATGGTAGTGATTTTTCATCTTCGGACAGGGGGATGGAATGTGAATCGAAGTTCTTCCTTTCTATCATGGAGATTTTAAATTACAAGTTATCCTTTTGAGTGGTGATTCAGAAATGGTAGGTGCGTCTGGATAATCTATTTCAGACGAGGCTCTTTATAAGAAATGGAAGTTGGTCGTCAAAGGAGGGAAAATGTCGGTAGGTTTATCAAAACATACTAGAGATTGATTGTTCATGAACCTAGCAATACTGAAATCGCTAATCATTTGGAGTGATAGGGGAAATTAGATGTTGTATCCTGGGTCATCCCCGATGATCATTATAAAGTTGACGTCTGGAAAATGTCTGAGCGCTTGGCAAGGGTGAAAACCTTGTTGATTAACCAATGCCTCCTCTTGTCTTGACCGGGTCAGAAATAGAAGTTATCCATCAAAGGAAGTAAAGTGTCGGTAGCTTTGTCAAAACATAATGGGGAGTGACTGGTCATAAACCTAGAGATTTTGAAATCGCTAATCATTTGGAGTGACAAGGGCATATGTTTTATCCTAAGTTAACCCCTATAATCATTATAAAGCTGACATCTTTGCTCAAAAGGGGTTCCAGATAATTGAGTCGGTTAATGCCAATAAATATCATTGGCTGGCCACTAAAATGGTTGGTACTCTTTCCGTCTTTGATTTATCGAGGTTATAATCAAAGTTGGCATCATGGTTGGTAATCCCTCAGATTGGTCGATTCTCTCAGTATGACTGAAGGATAGGATATGCAGATCTTTTGAGGGTTATTTGATTCCTCTGTATGAATGACTCTTCACCAGGTAGGGGATACATTTACCCTTCTCTGATTTTGAAGTGGTCGTCATGGACCATTGTAGGTTTCCCCTTGCAGCTTCATCCTAGAGCTTGGGCTTTCATGAAAGTGTTCCAATTTTGTGTCGAGTATAACTCTTTGAAACCTTACCTGAGGCTCTTTTTCGATATTTTTCTGTGGCCCTTATTCTCAAGATAATTCTTAGGATCAGGGATTGATCTCCATTCTTTCTCGGTGCCTTGGTTTGTTTATTTTTCCACTGACCGGGGTAATTCCCTAGAATGTTTCATACTGGTGAGACTTGTTACTCTTGAGGCTCATCTTTCCTTTTGTTCGTCTTCGACTCCGGTGAGGTGTGCTCATTCTAGAAAAAGCATTTTTCTGAAGTACTGGTCTAGAGGTTATTTCTTCTGGTTTCTCTATGCTTACCTTTATGGTTTAACTTTTCTATCCCCTGAGGAGGTAAAGATGAATGAGGGTTTATATCTTTAGTATCATAGGCGATACGAAAAAGGATTTGGTCTCGAAGAAGTACTCTATTTTCACCAAAATAAAGCTGAATAAATATTGACGTGATTATTAGTGCACTTGATCATTTCGAGAGGCAAAAACTTTTGGGTGGGGATGGGGATCAGGGATTTTTTTAAGAGTGTGACTTGTTCCTTGTAGATAACATAGATCATTTGAATAAGGCTCTCGTACACACCGAGGATCAGAGTCTTATAACTGACTTGCATATTTGGATGCCAATGGCTTATGTTATTGCTTTTACTTTTGTTTTGGAGGCACATATGTCACCTGTAGTGATGGCCCCATAAATAGTTGTCAATACTATCCCGAGTACAACTCATGAGGTGGAATAGTTGACTACTGTGGCAGCTGGCTTTTCAATTCATGATCATTTGTCATCTCTATCTCCTACCAAAAGGACTTAGGTGATAGCCCATTGACCCCTGTTGAAGAGGGTTTTTCCAAACGGGCTCGCTTGTCGAGAGATGGCAAGAAGGAGGCTCTTACTCCTTTCTTTAGTCTTCCTATAATTCTTCCATATTGGGTACCAAGCCCTCTAGAGGGGTCTCTTTGCATATGCTTTATGCACTTTGTTCAAAACCGGATCACTGGTCTCAATGGTATTTGCTGGCCATAATGGCGTAATGGGCTCTGGTGACCTTTCTAGGGAGCGAGATGAGCTGAAGAAGAAATGTGATACCCTAGAGTGGGGAAATTACAAAGTTGAAAAGGAGTTAACCTTGCTGCGAGTAAAAGTCGAGTATGTTAACTTTTTGCAGAAAGAGGTAGATCGATACAATCATCTGTCTACTTTGGCTGCTCAGGTGACAGGTTGAAGGCTTCTCTTGCTAAGGGAGAGGAACATTGGAAAAAGGCTTCTAAAGAAGTGGCTGAAGCGTATAGGGAGTTTGAAGCGGATCATAAAGTTCTTTAGCAAACAAAAGAATGATCAAATCAATGCTTTGAAAGGCCTTAAAGAAGAGGCAGCTGCTGCTCAATAGAAGTCTCAAGAATCCCTTCAACGGGAAATATAAGCAGTGTGCAGGGTCTAGTATCAAATGTTTGAAACGACACGAGAGCTTTGTCATTGCTGATCAGCTGAATCATTTCATAGCAGTTTCTAGAGAGGATGTTGGAGGTGGTTTGGGCACTTCGGGGGCGGACTCTAATGTTTGAAGGCCTTTCGTTCTCATTCTCTTTGTTTTTATCTATTCTTGTAATATTTTTCTGAGCATTCATGCCTCGACTTGTAAACAATATATATATATATATATATATATATATATATATATATATATATATATATATATATATATATATATATATATATATATATATCCTTTGGCATGTTTGTGCTTTTTCGGGCAATTCGGGGGCGGAAACTAATGTTTGAAGGCCTTTTGTTCTCATTCTCTTTGTTTTTATCTATTCTTGTAAGATTTTTCCAGGCATTCATGCCTCGGCTTGTAAACATATATATATATATATATATATATATATATATATATATATATATATATATATATATATATATATATATATATATATATATATATATATATATATATATATATATATATATATATATATATATATATATATATATATCGATCCTTTGGCATGTTTGTGCTTTTCTGATTTTGTATTGCACTCTTTTCAACCGTCACTACACCAAAAATAAGATTAAGCAGCACACCTTAGGCAACGCTTCTTATCAAAAGCGTCGCTAAAGGTCCATTTTAAAAACACAGGAATTTGATCGTATACCTTAGACAGCGCTTTCTAAAAAAGCGCTGCCTAAAGGGGAGAATGTGGTTTGAAAAAGCGTTGCTAAAGGGGGGTGTTAGAAAGCGCTTTGCAAAAGCGCTGCTAAATGAGGTAGGTACTGTAGCATTTTAGAAAAACGCTTCCTAAAGGGTGGGCTCACACAATGCTTTGTAAGAGCGCTGCCTAAAGGGGGGATGTGGTTTTAAAAAGCGCTGATAAAGGGGGGTGTTAGAAAGCGCTCTGAAAAAGCGCTGCTAAATGGGGTAGGTCTTGTAGCACTTTGGAAAAGCACTGCCTAAAGGGTGGGCTTACGCTACACTTTGTAAGAGCACTACCTAAAGGGGAGATTACATAGCGCTCGTCTACTAGAAGCGCTGGCTAACGGTGGGCTTACGCAATGCTTTTGAAAGCACTGTATAAAGTCATGTTATAAAAAAAAATTAAACACGCCCAATATCACATTAACGTTATTATTTTCAGAAAATAGTTTTTTTTCTCCTCTTCTCACGCACACGCACAGCAACCATTCTTCCATATAATCTTCCTTTTTTTTCTTTGATTTTCAATGAAAATAGATTCTATTTGTTCCACAATCAAGGTTCTCGTCCTTTCTTCCATTCAAGACCGTTCTCATCCTTTATTCCATTCACAACCAATATTATCTTCTCCTCTAGGTATGATTTTTTATATATTTAATAATGTTGATATATAATGTTGCATTTGGTTTAGTTGATAGTGTTGATTTAGTATTGATAATGTTGCATTATATTGTGTTTTATGTGGCATGTAGTTTTTGCATGTAAGGTGTTTGTGAAAATGTCACAATGAGTTTCACATGTAAGGTGTTTGTCTAAATGTCACAATGAGTATTGCATGTATTGATTGAGAGAAAATTGTTCTTATACAATTAATCGAGCTATAAATTTTGGTTTGAGAGGTTGTCGTAATAACACTTACAGTGTTGAAATTGAAAGCACTTCACATAGAGTTGAAATTGAAATTGAAAGAACTCATATAGTTTATGGTGTAAAGTTGATAATTTTAAGTGATTATTTGATGATAATGTAAAGTTGAAACGATAATATAAATATTAGTGATAATATAGAATAGAAACGATAACATATATTCTTGATGGTGTATAAATATTAGTGATAATATAGATATAAATATTAGTGATGATTTTTGACGACCATCGATAATATAAATATTCTTGATGCATGGTGTATAAATATTAGTGATTATTTAATGTTGTTTTATTAGTTTAATATTTTTTTATTAGTAAAATATATGTTAAAAAGAATATAGAAGATACCCCGATTCTTACATGCGTCAAACTAAATTACTTTATGATTTCACTTTTTTTAAAATAGTTTTAAAAAATATGATAAATTTTAAAGTTAGTTATAAATTTTAATTGCTAATTAATTAATATAAATTTTTAGAAAAATAAATTTTGATTTTTTTGAAATAATTAATAATAATATAATATTATTATATTATTATTATATTATTATATATTAAAAAAGGGTAGTTATAGTATTTATATTCTAATGTAATTCTTATTCTATAGATTTTTTTTATTATAATGAAATTAATTGATCATTTATATAGGTTACTTGTGAAGAGTAGAGTTTCTTAGCATTTTCAAGAATATTACACGGTGTGGTTTCAGAAGTTGCTGACTTCTCTACAAGTATTTAGTTGTTCTTTTAATTTGCTTAAGTTGCTTGAATATTTATAGTATTTTTATTATCGATGAATAAAAAATGGATGACTATTACATAATATGTTTGAGTTTTCTCAGATTGTAGGCATTGGCTTTTGCTATTTTATATATTCACTTTTGCAATATTCTCATTTGAGCTTCCTTTTGTATCCAACTTACACATTTTGGAGAGAAAATTATACTTGAAGACCTACGATTTTAAATTAAGTTGGTTGGACAAGTCAAAATTCTTGTTTTACACTAAGGTTAGATAACCTTCTATGTTTTATATTCCATTAGAATGTTCTCTTATGCTCCTATGATTTTCTATGAATATGCCTAATTGGTATTAAGCTTTTTAGTCTCTGTCCTTTTTTTAAGTATTGTTTTTGTTTAGCTTACTTAATAGTAATACCATGGATAAAAAATGGATGTATTCCAAATGATTGTCCAAAGAGTACGAGAATGGGGTATTGGAATTCGTTAAATTTGTTGTTGAACACGCCGAAGACGCCAATCGAATGAAATGTCCTTACTTAAGTTGTTGTTTTGTGGGTCGGGTTGATGTAGTTGGGTTGCAATCACATTTATTGAGGCGTGAAATTGATCGAAGTTACACATGTTAGATATTTCATGGTGAGAAAAGTAACGAGAATGTTGAACCGGGGGATAGTACGACATATACTTTAGATGACAATGGCACAAATATATATGATTATGATCGAGTCGAAGAGATTGCAGAAGCACTTGAAAAATATCTTCAGAATTATCCCAAAATGTTTGAGAGGTTGGTAAGCAATGCAGAGAAATCGTTGTATAAAGGTTGCACTAAATTCACAAGACTGTCTGCAGTATTAAAGTTGTACAACTTAAAGGCGGGAAATGGATGGTCGGATAAAAGTTTCACAGAGTTATTAGCCATTATGAGAGATATGCTTCCGGAGGATAATGTTCTTCCTAATCGAACTTATGAGGCCAAAAAAATGTTGTGTTGTATTGGCATGAGCTGTGATAAGATGCATGTTTGTCCAAATGATTGGATTTTGTTTCAAAATGAATATGCATCGTTAAATGAGTGCCCTAAATGCGGTTTATCTCGATATAAGAAAAAATTGTCTCCAGCAAAAGTCTTATGGTATTTTCCTATAATTCCAAGATTTAGACGCATGTTTCGTAGTGAAACCGATGCAAGACACTTAACTTGGCATGCATATGAAAGAATTATTGATGGAAATTATCGACATCAGCATATTCACCATAGTGGTCGAAAATTGATAATGATTTTCCTGATTTTAGAGAAGAAGCAAGAAACCTTCGCTTGGCATTATCTACGAATGAAATGAATCCACATGGTCTTCAAAGTATATCACATACCACATGGCCTATGATTCTTATAATTTATAACCTACCTCCATGGCTATGTATGAAGCGTAAGTACATTATATTATCTATGTTAATTTCTAGGCCTAAACAACCAGGGAATAACATAGACGTATACTTGACACCTTTGATAGAAGATTTAAAGATTTTGTAGGAGAATGATGTGGAGGTTTATGATGGATATAGGAAACAAAGTTTCAATTTGAGGGTGATGTTGTTTGGCACAATTAATGTTTTTCAGCATATGGGAATCTATCAGGGTATAGCATACAGGAATCTATCAGGGTATAGCATTAAAGTATATATAAATTAAAATGATATACTTGTTCATCATGAGTTATAATTGATCTTTTTTTTATCTTAATGTGTAGTTAAAAGAGGAGAATAATTCTGAAACATCTGTTCTGAAACATGTTTTGTGGAAGGCTGCCTGTGTGGGTAAGGATGGAGTTGTTAAAGAAAAGGTTCAACAAATTTTTGAGAAATGTGTAAGTATAACATTAATTGTTTAATTAAATAAAATTTTTATTAACATGTCATATTCATGCTTTTTCGATATTCATATGAATTTCATGAGAATCTGTCTCAGTCTATATCTCCAGATGACTACAATGATTGCAGGAGCATACTTAGTCGAGCATTAGATGCTCGTGAGTATTGTGGTCGGGTGAGGGGTTGGGACATGGGGTCACTCCAACATCCTTGAAAAATAAAAATTCAAAGACAATATCTCTTAGCAATAAAGGACTGCAGCCAAAGTTGCAAGCATTAGAAGATGAAGTTCGTGAATTGAGAAAGGAAAGAGAAAGAGATCAATCAGAAAGGGAAGCTTCGGGTTTTAAAGATACTAGTGACAAAGCTAGTTCCAATTATAATGTTCAACCGAATATTCCCGAGGTAATTATATATATCATTATGAAATTAAATTAGTGTAATTTATTTAATTGACACACACACACACACACACACACACACACACACACACACACACACACACATATATATATATATAGACACACACACATTAACAGTGTCATATTTATTATTTGTTTTAGGGCATTTCACCCTGTCAACTGTATTTATCGTCACCGACTTATCAGATGGTTGGCAAGGGGAAAGTGCATAATACTTTGGGAGAAGTACTTCACC